AGATGAGTCTGATTAGGTTTCAAATGGTTAATCGATTGTTGATTTCACACATTTGTGGGCTCTTGGCTAACAAATGGATTGTGATTTCAGCAGGGAGCAATCCCGTCAGCCAGCTGACAATGTCTCACTGATTTCAACATGTGTTAAGAGCTAATCAATAAGCTGATTGGCAGCAGCAGTAGCCTGAAGGTTAGACTTTGTCCATTTATTGTCACGGCAAGTCAGTCTGTGGCACTGAGGTCACACATGTAACGGTAAACATTCAGCTCTATTAAGCTGACATTCTGGAAGGATGTAAAGTAGTTAGTGTAGCTGACATCAGCAGTTCTTAAGTGCTATTTGAGTCATAACAGGAAAATGACCTTATTTAATCCCTCAGATATGACTTCCGTCCAACAGGACATTCCAATTCAGCATTTTTTAATAGACTACAGCAGTGTTTACTCATAACAGCTTTACAACTCTTTAACAAGTAAATCACATAGAAAAAGATACTTTTGCACAACATTTGGGGTTATCGCTCATTCACCATACAAATTTAGCATGGCCAATAGAGATTAAATAGACAAATTATTATGGAACATGCCAGGTTAAATGAAAACTCATTAGCCTTCAAGCCACCTAACCCAGCAACCCTGTTGATGATTTGGAAAGGCTAGCCCATTGATTAATTAAACATTAATGATTACAAAATGAGAGAATCCATTAGTCAGTAATGACATCTTGACTGTATGGCAAAGCTACACAGAAAACTGAAAGTGCTCACTGATTTTTATTTATTTATTTATTATTTCCTTTCTGCTCCAGCAATCCTAACCATAGACCACCCAGTCTCTGATTCCATGGACCACCAGCATTTCTTATCAGTGTCCTGCAGAAAAGCCATATCTTAAATTTTGGCTTTTGTGGAATGGCCGGCTGATAAGACCCCATACATCTGAGCGGATCCCCTGTGAACCACTGAATCTGATATCCCTGCAACTTAGCCTTAACAGCTTTAATATATTTAAGGTATGTGACGCTTTGCAGTCTGGATCATGTCATGACTACATATCCACTTGTCTCAGAACATCATGTCGACTGTGAAGTGGGTACATAAAAATCAGAGAAGATCCACTTCAAACTGTATAAATTCTCTAATCTCTGTCAGCAGCTTCACCTCTCCCTTCCATGTCCTTATTTTCTCAGTGTTCTGCTTATCAACCCAGAGAGGGGTCACTTGATTACTCACTTCTTTCTTTTCTTTAAGCCACAACCATCTGTCACATAGAGACATTGGAACAAGGAGAAAGTGAGTTGAATGATAACATGACAGGTGATGCATATTTGATGTTTAGCGTACTGTGGACTTCCAAATGAGCCAGAACCGATTGACGACCACCGTCAAGACTACCTGGCACGGGAGAGAGAGGCTTGGCAAGAAAACTAATTTTGATAAAGAGGAGAAAAATATATGTTCGTGCGCTCCACACATGGAATAAAAATGTTTCAAATAAGAACTTCCACGCACCTGTTCTGAGCATTGTAAAATACCACAGGGTTATCGGTGGGTATTCCGGAAGTATAGTCATTTTATTTCAGAATAAAAGCGCAACAATTTCATACAGAACGTATTCTGGTACTCTGGTCATCAGCGTTAACGTTGTTGAATATTATGGTTAGAAACTAACCATCACACGTACCAGGCTCTCTTTTGCTCTCTCTTAAATTGATAGCATTTTGTTTAAATACAAGTTAAAGTTAATTTACCATATTAAACAGGTTATTTTAGTTTAATTGACTTAATGTGTTTGTTAATTGGCCCACATTGGCTAAAGATAACCCTCACATCTCTGCATTGCATAGTCTGCAGTCCCCTTAAAGCAGGGTGGGCAATTAATTTACCCAAGGGTAACATTTGAAAATGGGACAGAACTCAGTTCTGTTCAGTATCTATTTATGTCTTTATAAGCTTGATGGCGCAGTCCTCCACAACAGCCTGGTTTATTGTGTAAACCAGGGGTGTCCAAACAACTTACTTGCGGGCCAACTCCGGCCTGTGGTTCATTTTTAATCGGCCCGCAAGTAATTTTATAAATAGAATAGGATATGGCCCGCACTTCAACTTTTGCTTGAGTGTATTGCACTTATTATTTTTCACACCAGGGAGAGCTGCTGTTAATCAAGGCAGTTGCTCCACCAAAAAGGACAATCACAGAAGAAATGTATCCCCAAGTTACTAAACATGGCAGAACCAAAGAAGCGAAAGGTAGAAAGTGAGTGCAGAAAATTTCAGACACGGTGGGAGAGTGAATATTTCTTCAAAGAATTCAAGGGGAAGTGTATCTGTTTGATCTGCACTGAAACTGTGGCAATTATGAAAGACTATAATGTACGACCTCATTATGAAACCAAACATCAGGCCTATGCATCTTACACTGGTGCTGAGCGAGAGCAGAAATTAAAGCAAAGGGTAGCTCTCCTGCAGGGTCAGCAACAGTATTTTTTTTCGTGCTCAAATTGTCCAGGAAAAGGCTCCAATAGCCAGCTATGAGGTCGCCCAACTCATCGCAAGACATGGCAAGCCTTTTTCAGATGGAGACCTCATAAAACACGGCCTCGTTAAAGTCACCGAAATAATGTGCCTGGAAAAACTGCAGGACTTCAACAACGTTAGCATGTCCAGAGATACAGTTGTGCGAAGCACTGAAGACTCGTCAGCCAACATTAAACTGCAACTGTCTGATAAAGCTGTGCTTTTGATTTTTACTCCATCGCATGCGATGAGAGCACCGATGCCACAGACACCTCACAGCTGCGAATTTTTTTGCGGGGAGTGGACGAGAGCACGAGCATGTACACATGCTTCAAATACCAGTAATGCGCATCAATTCTGTCACTACCCTGCTTTTGCGCACCACTTTCTTATATGCGTTTTTCTTGTTAACACAGAGTACACACCGCTGTGCACAGCGCACGCACACGTAGTCAGCTGATCTCATCTGATGCAGATCTGCTCCTTGATCAAGTGACATTTGTCCGGATTTTTGGCACGAGTGGCGTACGATCAGCACCGCAGCTGGTCATGTTTACATAGAAACATCGTGGAAGCAAAGGGATCTTCTATGGGCAGACAATGACAATCAGACGCTTAAGGGCAGCCTCAGACATTTTTATATGACTACTTTATCAAGAGCGGATGTAAATTAAACTTCACATTCATGGTATGGAGGGTGTCTGGGGTGGGGTGGGGGTGGGGGTGGGGGTTCTATTACCATTCAAAAGTGAAGACTTTTAGGAATTTGGGAAATTTTGGAATGCATTTTGAATGACATGCAGACTTGCATGTGCGGATAGATTCCTCAAATGGTATTCCAGCCATCTGCCACTGTAACACCAGTGGTGCAATTTTATAAATGTGCCTATATCCAGTCACACTGTCAGATTCTGTCCTTATCCTAAAAACCAGTCCCATGTGGTTAAAAAAAAAGTACTTGAAAGCGCCACTCTCTGCTTTTATTTTGAAATCTGTATGAGGAAGCGATGTTCTCCTCTCAGATGAAACATGGCACTTGTCGGACCTGATACGCTCCGGGGATTAACGGTAACAGAGCAGCGACCTGCGAAGAGGATCGCGAAGCAGGTTAAGCTTTCAGTGAGCGAGTAACCGGGCGGCAGCTTGGCCGGGACGTTACTGCTCT